ACATATAGTGGTCACTTTTTTCAGTTACTGTTAGTCTATGAAGGGGATATATATATATTCATTTGTTCTAGTGGGAAACTTATGAGCAGGTATATTTTCAGTGAAGATGTGTGAATTTTTATAAATGAACATTAGGCATTCATAGATATAAATCGCGTAGATTGTCATTATATTGGTGGATTTGAATACTGTTCTGCAAGTTTGGTTATAATTTAAGTTGTTGATTCCTTTTATTATTCTTTTTTGAACTATGAAGATTTTTTCGATATTTCGATTGCTACCCCAAAAAATAATTCCGTATCGAGCAACCGATTCGAAGTTATCCGTGTATATTGTTTTTATAACCTCGTTGTGCAGTTATTTTGATGTAACTCTAATTCCGTACGATATTCCACTTAGTTTGTTTGCGAGGTTATCAATATTATAAGTTTAATTCATGTTCTCGTCTATATGGATTCCTAAAAATTTGGTGTTGTGGGACAGTTCAAAAGAAGAGTTTTGAATTTCCACCCTAACTGGATAATCAATGTTGTCTTGGTTTGTTCTAAACAAAATCATATGTGTCTGCGATTCATTTAGTACAAGTTTATTTTTATTGAACCAGTCCTTGGTTTTGTTGAATAGATCTGTACTATTCAACATCATCTCTGGGAAGGTTTTACCACCTGATAACAGACTTGCGTCATCTGCGAAAATAGTTTTGAACTGACGTTGGTTTACGTTTAGATTACATAAGTCGTTCAAATAAATGACGAACAAAAGAGGGCCGGCAATGCTTCCCTGCGGAATTCCCACGTCTGTAGGAAGGGTTTCGGATTTATAGACTCTTCCATTTCGTTTTATTTCTACAGATTGAAGGCGATCTGATAGGTAGGATTCAACCCACTTTAGCGGTGAACCTCTTATTCCATATCTTTCTAATTTTATTAACATTAGTTGATGATTCAAGCAGTCATATGCTTTGGATAGATCCAAAAACATTCCGAGAGCTATCAGTTTTTCTTCCATCATGTTCGTTACATTTTGTGTGAATTTATATATGGCCGTTTGTGTTGATCTACCCTGTGAGTATCCATGTTGAAGCCTACTAAATAAGTTACATTGATTCATAAACTCTATAATTCTCACTGACAAGCGAAACCGGCCCTAAATAAAATTTATAGTGTTAAAATTGTATAATTGTTACCATGGACATTATTTTGTTTTTGAATCAGGTGGTAATTTCTTCATATAATAGTAGTAAATTTGTTGTTTCAAAATACACATATTTTGTAAGTTTTTGAAAATAAGAAACATTTTGTCAATTTGTAGCCGTTTCCTGATATTATTGAATTGTCTATTATAATTGAGTTGATTTTATGTGATATGATATTCTGTAGATTACCTATTTTCATTATATATTTTTATTAGGCAAGTCTCAAGCATTATATTCGAGTATAACCAAAAGACAGAAGGATAAGAATTCAGGTCTTCTTACTGTTGGTGCAGTAAACATAGATATACCTCAACATCCTGTAGCTTTGCATGGAATGGTAACAAGAGGAAGCAAACAGTTGAGTTCTACGCTACAGGAATTGAGAGTTACCAGAACATCCAGTAGGTTATCTAGGTTACCCCCTGAAGATGAGCAACAAGGATCTCCTAACCATCAGAGTAGAGAAGAGCCAGAACCTTGTTCTAGTTTTTCTAAATCACCCCCAACTGATAAAGGACTCCTGCAGCCATTAGTAATGCAGTTTTCTGTTATTCTGCAGGTAAAATAGTCTGAATAATCATTAATAACTCTTTTATTAGATATAATTTTGGATAGTTGCTTTATATCTGATATTTGAAAAGTTTTTTAAGGTTTATGGATCATCATAGTGGCTACTGTATTTTTTGATAAATCAACGAATTATTTCTGATTCACAATTGATTCTGAACGTTTGTTGAATTAATAATCAGAATTTAATTTCAGTTTCATTATTTTTCAAGTTTGGAAACCGTGGATTTTTGGAATTTCTTCCTGACGTTTCGCTGGCGCGAGTGGCTAGCTTCTTCAGAGGTTTAACCATCATGGCTTGCTGTCCGATGACTAACTTTTAAACTTCGTAAAGCGTATTTATGCCTTGTCAGGTAATCAGTTGTATTTATACCTGTACGTGTCCCTGCACTTGTACCTGTACTTGAACCTGGAACATTAACAATCTTGCTGCCTGTTGTTATTCTGTTTGTTATTCTCGAATTCCTTAAAATGTAGTTCCATATTCGGTTGAGGTTCACCGCTTCTTCTTTTTTGTTGAAATTCTCCGTGTGTTTGTGGATCTCTATTGCCTCCCGTACCAGTCGGCTATGGTATCCCTGGTTGAGGGCAATTAGTTCTGTGTTTTCAAACAAAATTCTGTGGTCTCCTTCACTAAGTGCGTGTTCTGCCACAGCTGACTTGTCCGCTTGGCCTAGTCTGCAGTTCCTTTTATGTTCTTTTAGTCTTGTTCCCATGGATCATTTGGTGGTTCCAATACATACCTTCCCACAAGTGCGTGGTATGCGATAGACCCCTGCTGCTGATAATGGGTCTCTTTTGTCTTTAGCCGACCTGCCGACTAATATGGAACCCCATTTTAAGGAATTAGAGAATAACGAATAGAATGACAACAGGCAGCAAGATTGTTAATGTTCCAGGTTCAAGTACAGGTACAAGTGCAGGGACAAGGGCAGGTACAAATACAACTGATTACCTGACAATGCATAAATACGCTTTACGAAGCCTAAAAGTTAGTCATCGGACAGCAAGCCACGATGGGTAAACCTCTGAAGAAGCTAGCCACTCGCGCCAGCGAAACTCCAGAAAGAAATTCCAAAAATCCACGGCTTTCAAACTCGAAAAGTAATGACACTGAAAACCTCAGCCGTGAAAGTCTAAACCATTTTGTCAGAGTTCACTTTCTCATTTGGGCCATTCATTTTTTAGAGTTTGAGTATAACAGCTGCTCTGCTGCCCTCTCTACAAGCTCAGTATAAAATGGATCAAGTGAACAGTACTGGTTTTACTGGTTCTAAGGCAAAATTCACCATTGATTTGCCTCATCATACTCTGAGTTTCACTACAAAGCTACCACAGGTATCATAAACTTTGCTAGTCACAAATATTCATTGTGATTAGACTTTAAACTTCCCACTTTATATATTGATATTTGCAGGGTTACAATCAAAATGAAAAGGCCGAAGCCAATCTTCCGTCTGAAGCTAGCATAGCTCTACCCGCTGTGCATGTTGTTGCAGAATATATTCCTGACAATGCTGATTCTGGACTGAGAGACATGAATGGGGGACCTGAAGGTGTAGTGTTCAGACAAGGAGGTTATCTGAATGCCAATGCTGACATTGGCGTTTTTGAACATAGTTTAACTACAGATTTGTTGAATCATTTAGTTTTTGTTCAGAAAGTATTTATGAAGGTGAGTAAATTTGCTGAATACCTTTTTTTATTTTCATATTAAGATTAACTGAAGAATTAGCTGAGCATACTTTCACCTTGAAAGCATGAATATCATTGAGCAATAAAAAATGGTACTAGAAGTAAGTTTGTACATCATTAACAAATGATATTCGGATTTTATTTGTAGTTATACACTATTTAGAACTTTTTTTGAATTGTTTATCTTTAGAACTGTTATATCTTGAAAATTCTTCACCATCCCTTTTTTTCTCTGAATGGGGTTATAAATCATCTCATAATGAGTGAATAAGTAGATTCAAAATACTGATAATAGAGTGTTTAAACAGGATGTCTGGTTTCAGCCCTCATGTCTTTCCATAGATGCATTTGGCCAGCATCAGTGCTACCTCAGATTCAATCCTCAATAAAAAAAGGTGTTCCCACATCTGTTTATTATTTATCTCAATCATATTTTTTACTTTATGTCCCCTAATAAATGTCTTTGCTGTGCCAGATGATACAACATTTTTACAATCTCGTGCAAATCTACTCAGCTTAGTGAACAATATAAAGCAGAAGAAAATACTTGGATACAAATGACCTCAAATAGATCTTCTGGGCATTGTTATTGATGACAAATAAAACTAAAATTCACTTGTAGACAGTTATATAGAAAGCATACTTCTCAATAAGCCGAGAGGATGAATGACACTGAGCCTATCAGCTGTCTCTACGGAACCTTCGAGATACCGGGCGCCCTCTCGTCATATCATCGCCTTGTCACGATAATGCGCGGCTCTACCGTGATTGACCTTCTTTCCTTAGCCACTCTTCGGACTTTTATGGACAGAGTATACTTAAAAATTCTTCCTGACGCTGAGTTTATAGAGGAGATGGATGTCGAGTTTACGACTCCAACTGACCTCCCTGTAAATTGAATTCAGGAGCGAGTCTACAGAGGAGATGGATATCGAGTTTACGACTCCTTCTGACCTCCCTGTAAATTTAATTCAGGAGCGAGTCTACAGAGGAGATGGATGTCGAGTTTGCGACTCCAACTGACCTTCCTGTAAATTTATTTCAGGAGCGAGAGCTTCTCAACTTTCCAACTCCTGATCCAACAATTGAACCTTAAAAAAAAGGTTTGGTGGTGCAGCCAGAAAACGACTGAGTCGTCTCTTCAAGAGCGGGGTACCTTAGAAAACCACCTTGCACCAAATTCTTGAGTGGCGTACGCTGAATCTGTCTCAGGTGAGGGAACAAACCCCCCCATGAGCAGGTCAGCAAAGGTTTGCGCTCAAGTGATGATTCACCAAAACCAGAGGCGAAAAAGCCCTGAACAGCTGAATCTAAGGCATCGTCAGGTGTAGGTTACAGTGGAGAGTCGAATAGACTTTGGACCGTATCTAACCTAACCTAAATACTTGGATACAAATGACCTCAAATTAAATCGAGATAAAAAACAAGAACTTTTTCTTTTTACTAATAATAATTATGTTTCGATAGATTTGGCAATTGTTATTGATGACGAATCAAACTAAAATTCACATGTAGACAGTTATATAAAAAGCATACTTCTCGATAATTTTTTTTGTGGCCTGGAAAATATTCACAGTTCTCCTGTTCTTCTAACACGAATCCATTTACTTTTCCACTGAATATCAATTATTTTTTTATATTGTTCCACATCATTTGTAGTCAATAAACATGCTTCTTGAGATTATTTAAACTGTTATTAAACTAACCTCAAAGATCATAATAATATATAAAACATTTTGCTTTGAAATTTCATAATTTTGGCCAATTCTATATTGAAGTCAAATATAGAGATATCAGTGAGAAATACATACTATAAATGTATTTCAGGAAGTGAATGAGGTAGTTCAAAAAGTTTATGGAGGTGAAAGACCTGTTCCAATATGGTTAGAAGACACTGAAGAACATTCCACTTTGAACAGGTTATTGTTTTCATTAGTTATAAAAATGCAAAGAATGCAACTGACTGCTACAACTGCCGGAAGTTCGGCTGTACGATTAGAAACAGGTATGTTGATATCTTTTGTTAGTATCCTTTACATTTTTATTCGAAATTTTTAGGTGCTGTGGTATTGGAGCTTTCCAACAGAGTACAAAACATATCTGGATCCACTCACAGCAATACTTCTGCAAGGCTTTTCGGAAAAGCACAAGTAGATTTGAACTTATCACTTGGACAGATTATTAGGAATGCTGTTTTTGAAGAGGCAGATATTGAATATCAACATGTTGCTTTTTTCAATACCAGAATAGGTCTGAGGAATGCATTCCAGGTATGATATTAATTTTTGTGAAAACGTTTTTGAATACATTCAGAAAACGAGTGTGACATATCAGTTTTTTCTCATGACTATTCTACATAAAAATATCAATTAAAGTATGGTCGAATATACAAGCATATAAAAATTATCATGAATTGCTTTCCTTCATAGCCCCTTGTTTCATACACTCCTCATATTCCTTCAATGAATAAAAGGAATTCTCAAATAGAAAATATTCAATGCCTTTTAAAACAGAAACATTGTCAATTCTTTTAATTCACTACATACAATTTATAGTTTAGCGAGTTAGTCTATATTTGGGTATTCTAATATTATATGCTCCCTTGGTGTTATGCTAGTGAATATCAGATTCTGTAACGAAATTTGGCAAATGAATCTCAAGTAGAGTATTCAGAATGAAAAGTGATGGAAGTATCTGCCACCACATGGCAATATTCCATAGTTGAGATTAGTTTGGAACAAGGGGAAATATACGATTTGCAGAGTAATAATTTTAATTACTTGTCTTAGTTGTCGAATATTGAAAAGAGGAAGTAACGCTTCTGGTTCAGTTGTCTAACATTACTCTACCAGCTGAGCTTCTCATCAAATGTGAAACCTCACAGTTTTGCATGTTTTTCTCAGTGTATTGGTGGTAACTAGTGCTTTTGTGATTTTTCGTTGTTTAGCTTCAGTCTGTTTGTAACAAACCATTCTTCACCTTTATCCTCGGCTTCTGCAAGCATCCGTAATAGTATAGTTTTTCAAGGAGTTAACCATGGGAAACACAATTGAACGCACTAGACAGGGCGCAAAGAGTAATATCCATGTTGAAATCTTGTTGAGACCCTCGATTATTCTCCCAACTACCCTTGTTGCTGCGCCAGTAGTTGAATGATCTAACCTGAATCTGAAATGAGAATCTCTTAAATAGTTATTTTCTCCAAGGTAGTTGGTCAGCCTCTGCTTGATCATGATTTCGAATAACTTTGAGGAAATGCAGGTAATTGAAATAGGTCTGTAACTGCCAATTCCATCTCTACTGCCTGATTTAAAAATGGGAACCAAAAAGGGGGTTTGTAGAAAGAAATCTTTGAACTTGAGATCGACAACTGTCGTGAACGATTTCCAATGGTTATCAGTTCTGATGAGTTTCAGAATAAAGTTCTCCATGAGATTTGCTGTTTTTTCATTCAAATAGTTTTTTACATTATTTTCCTCAACTTCTTTTTCTACTCGATAAATATACACCCACACTTTTGGTTTTGTCTCTTTGAATTTACAGTTTTCAACTAATTCACCAATTTGTCGTTTGGAATTGTTTCCTTCGTATGGTTTGTCAATCAGAATGGTCCCTACATGGACAGAAACAACTGCCTCAGACTCATTGTCGATTTCTCAATTTATAATTCCATTTGGTTTTTGATGCTATTGTACTCTCACAATTTCATCTAAAGCTTGCTTTAAATTCAGAGGTAAATTGCTCTCTTAAATAGAGATATTTGGAATTTCTTCTTCATTAATATTAAATTTCTTGTCTAGAGGCTTACCTAGTCATAATTTGGTTTTTAGACAGTTTAACTGCTTGTTGATGACCGGACATTGAATTTGTGCCTATAAAACTTTTTGAATTTTTCTTCGAGGAGTAATGATTTCTCATTTAATTAAGTCACCAGTGACTCCTTATTGTTGATGACAATTGTTTTATCTGCAATTATTTGCTTGAACAACAAATTATCGCCAGCCAAGTAAACTTCATCTGTCATCAGTGATTTTTCTTTAAGTTTCTCATAACAACAAGTTTTTGCTCTCTCTGTACAAGCATCATAGTAAACTGCATCACATTCCATACCCACTAGTTTGAAAATAGCATTTTTCTTTCAATATTTGCATATTTTATTCAGTTTATCAAAACTTTAGTTTCCATTTTATATATCAATACTAGATGCTGGAAAAACATCAATGCTAGAAAGACACTTTTGGCTTTCAATTATAGTAGTTTTCAAGTGACCTCTATAGAATGATGCCCTCAAATTACCGCAATAGGGGGGCTGTCATGCAATTTTTTCCTGTTCACACCCTTCAAACCTGAACAATAAATATTCAATATTCAAAGGATTGTCTCTCAGATTTTTTTATGAAGAACTTATAGTAAAAATTATTATAGTTTGAACTTAATTTGTTACTAAATATCATGACAACATATGAGTTGAATCACTAAAGATATCTATATGTTTTTGTTGAAAGATACTGTTAGGAATACCTCACTGGCTAGCAACAATATAAAACACTCTATACCACAAACTTTATCAATACTTATTGATCTACCCAACAACAATATCAGTTTAAGACTGACACACTCAAAATATTTCCAACACAAAGAAATGTATCATTTTCTTATGTAAACTTGTCAGCCGTTGTTCAGGGCTGTCTCATCAAAAGGTAATGTACTGAGCACTGATCCTAAGCAATGTCCCTAACAGTACCACTGTTACCTATGCTGTGACAGTACCTTCAAGTGAATATTCTCAAAAACTTTTCTTAATTCTTACACATCAGTTTTTTTTCTAAATGGACTTTAAATATTTCAGAATGAATTGATTGAAGGTGAAGACAAGGAAGTTGTACTAATAACCTTAAAACGGCCACTAATTTACATTCAACCTGTAGCCATAGATAAAGCTATCCTTGTTTGGTTAAACTACAAAAACGCCTATGACTATTGGAATGAGAAACGAGCCAATCTCAACAAAGAAGTTCTCAGCGCTACTCAACAGGTTTACGAAAAGTTCCAATTTGGGCAACTCACGAGTCAGTTAAGTGGACCCTACTTGGGTACTTTATTTTTACAGTTAACCGTCGAAGACATGGGCATCTGCCTTCCATTAAACTCTTTGCCGTTCGCCAATTGGAATCAAAGAAATGTCTATGAATCATTCTCGAGTATCTGAAAGTTATGAAATATTCAATTATATTCTTGAGCACATTCATTAATTCTTTAAAAAATCCGTGACGTTTATTTTACAGCTTGTAACTCTGGTTCTCTTGTGAGCAAAGGAAAATTCTCAAATCTGTGTCTTCGCTTCGCAGAAGACTTTGAAAACTCTCTCGATGACTGGAAACCTGACATGACCGATTCTTCCATTATGAATCTTTGTGTGGTAAGCGATGGAACTTATGAAGTGTGTAGTCGTACCATTGCTGCAAAGCAACCCAACGGTGAGGATTTAAAATTCTGTGTATAGAACGGCCACAACTTCTTTGTTTTTTTAGAAAATGCTAAATGGTTTCTAAATGTTCAGTGGCAAATGGAAGGTGTTGACATTCACCTAGATACTAATGTTGGTAAGCAACTCTCTGCCCTTGGTCACACTTTGACGATGTTAACAGGTGTTGAGGATACAACAATTCCTGTTGATTATGACAGTGATGACAATGATGCTACTGATGGTACAAGAACTTCTCAAGAGAGTATTTTACCCGCTTTCATGTATGATCCAAACTTAGACAATAAGAGTCGTTCTAAGCTTATTGAAAAAGAAATGAACGAGCAGGCAAAAATCATCAATGATCTGAGATCCCTTGGAGCTTCCCATGGAACCATCGAGATGGAAATGAAAAGATTACACGAACTTGAAACACTAGTTTATAAAGATTTTAGAAGGTGAGTGCCTATTGAAACATTGTTATAAAATATTCCTGAAATCATGAATACACTAACCCGTTATTTGATGAAAATTAATAACATTATCCATGAAAATAATTATTTATTTTTTACACTAACAATTTTATTCAAGACACGTTTCACTACACGGTAGTTTCATCAGTCCAACTGAAAATTGTGTTTAATTACTATCATGGATAGTATTCTTAAAATATTTTGTAAAAATTTAGTAATGAAAATTAATAAACTACCAATTTGTCAAAAGTCAAGTTAGGATATATTTGATGTGAATAAAATTTTATTTATTTCAGAGACATGATACAAAAATTACGGAGGCAAAGTGTAAGAGCTTCTTCAATCAAAGGAAAGTTTGGTTTAGGATCCAAATCTAATCCTTTCAGGTCAAAGTCATTTGTGGTACCAAGTCCAATGCCTGAAGGTAGAGACAGGTCAGTTCAACCAATAAATATCATTGAATTTTTGTTTCTTTTTTTCCTTTTATCTCTTACAGAATATTGTTTTGTTTAGGTCAAAGTCTTTAGTAGTAATACCTAGTACCATTCCAGAAATCATTGGCAGGTTTGTATTACTATTGTGCAAGTCCACTGTGTCCTAATGCTTGTGTGCTGATTGTTCGAAATAAACTTATAAGTACCATTATTATACAAATGCTAATTTCATTTTGGAAACGTAGAAAAAAACATGTACTCACAAGTCCAGTTGTAGACCTTAAGAGGTCGCAATGAATATGGCCATTCATGTGGTACTAAACCAATAGATTGATAATCATCCTGAAATTCGTATCATTTTCTCTGTTCAAAACAGAAACTTACGTTAAATGTGAGCATGACACTTGTGACGGTAGAATAGCATTCATCTTGGAGAATTATGTCACATTACTAAATCTTTTTGAGTTTACTATCAAAGACAACTTATATTTTACATAGAAAATGTCTCATAACCAAGTTTCTTTGTCTTTGAACTTTCTAACTTGTAAATACTCTAATCTCTAGTTATATCATTTGATTTACTTTCTTGCTCGAACTTTTTTGTTTTTTTCCTTCAAATCATATTTTGTGATTGTTTTATTATTATTTTTAGCCCAGAAATGGCAAAAGCTAGTTTTGAAACCAATGTCGCTAGTAGTTATGAAAGCTCTCCTAGATCAGGGCCGTCAAGATCCGCCTCCTTAAGGGTCAAAACTGGAGAGTGTGGACCCCGAGTTACTTTTAGTGATACTCAGACTATGGGCAGGTACAGTAACAATCAGTTATATTTTTTAATTCTGCTTTGCTGCATTTTTTGTAGTAAGTTTGGTTTTGTTGAACATAAACATCCACTGTTTTAGTTAAACATAATTCCACTATTTATCATTGATAACCCTATATCTTCGAATGTGTCCGGTCGGTCGGTAGCCGGTCGGTTCGACGTGGGTGCTTTGTTCACTGACTCAAATCGGCCGCCGTGTTGGTCGTGATTCAAACCCCAGGTTGAACGATCGATTTTCACTTGCTATCGTCCAACCCGTGTTAGGAATCACACGTTAAAAGGTAAGACCTTGTTAGTCCTTAGCTCGCACAAGTTTCGACTTCTGAGAGTTGTCGTTCGTAGGGGTGCGACAACTGGTTAAATGAAAAACAGATTTGTATGTTTTTCCGTTAATTTAAACAGACTTAAATGATACAGGCTCTAATTGTCATGATTTTGGCTAAAATATGGTTGTTTTTGTCTTGTATTCGCTAATTAGTTGATATTATTAGTACACTGCTGGGCATAAAATTAGGGTAATTTGAAGTTATTTTCAACTTTTTTGAATCTCTTCCTGATGTCACATATTTTACCGAGTCCTGAAAAAGAAACCAATTTTTGATTGCCAAAATTTATTTGTTAATACTAAAAATGAACAATATCATTTCAGTATGTTAGGAAATGAAATGAACAATTTTACTCTGATATGCATTTGGTTGGAAAAGAAAAATGCAAGGGCTTCAGTAACGAATGTTACTGTTCCCTCCTCTTGCTGTCATTCTGCAAAAGATTTTCCCATTCTTGTACCAGTATGTCGCGTAGCTCTCTAGAATTTTTGGGAGCCGGCACATGTCTCCGGACCGTGCTTGAGTTGAACCTCGTCAAGATACTCAGTTACATCCGGACATTGTGATGCATAAATGTTATATCGTCTCCAAAAAAAAAACATGTATGGTAAAACATGATCTTGTAGATCGATCTTGTAGATCGATGATGACTAACTCCGTGCGAGCGTCAAATGATATGCCCTCCCATGGCATAACTGATTCGCCACCAAATGAAAGTCGCTCAGCAATACACGCTTGAGCATATATTTCTCCTGGTCGTCTCTATATTCCCCTAAATCTATCGGAGCCCATGAGGCAGACTCGCGATTCATCGGAAAACAGTACACCAAACAGTACCTTTCCTAGATGACTTCAACTCATGGGGTGACCCTAATTGTATGTGCGGCAGTGTATTGTTACGTTTTTTCCCGTGGGTTGACCAATAATTGACTACACTGAATAATCAAACTTCATTTCACTTTAAATACAACAAACACTTCAACTAAAACTTCAACTATTCGAATGTCTATCACCTTACTAGATAGCTTCACGTACCGCACTGTAACTTCCACTTGACCGCATCGATATGCTGTTGGCTAGCGTTTATATATCGTAATCGAATGTGCTAGAAAGTTTCGCTGGAATTCCATCGAAATCGGTAGTATAATTCTCGCTGCATCTAGAACGGCCGCGAACATTTATTTCTCATGAAGAATATAAAACGATTCGAAAATATTTTCATACTAGGAAGATGTCACTGGCAATATACTGTACAGAATAAACAATTAACTAGTTTCAGAAGAATAAACAATGTTCAATTTCAATTCATTGTCTCAAGAAACTATAAATGCTTATAATTAGGGACTATAACTAACTACAAAGTATTATAAAATAATGGTAACATATACAACAAATGTAACAGTTACAGGAAAAAACTGAGACTCCTAGTTGCTAGACATATCGATGTTAAATTTGAAACTAATAAATGTTTTGTCAGTTTATTTTCTATGAGAAACTTTTTATGTTTTGATTTGGAAATGAAGAGATTTGGTGCATTTTTTATTGAAATATTTGCAATTGTGATTGACTTTCTGGTCTCAAAAAGTGAGAAGACAACAATTTGGAACTGAACTTGAAAATGGTTCAACTAACCGAAACCGGTCTTAACAAATAAAAAACTTAGTAGAAATCACACAAGTTATTTTCTTCCTATAAACAATATGAATTTTTACAAAATAAATAGATCATCAATCGAACAAGTTGGAACTGAATAATAAAGAAATGTATATATCAGGTCTTGATATTTTTTAACGATATTATATTCCAAAAAAAAGCACTTCCCCCAAACTCCAGAACTGTATTGACGCGCGTTTCACCAACCAAGTTGGTGTCTTCAGTAGATGAAGTTTTTTTTTACTTACTTCAGTATGAACAATTTGCCAGTTTATTTCAACATGTAAAATTTAAACAATATTTGATATTTCCAAGATTTATATCTGACATAGTACATTTTTACTTTCAGACATACATGGAATTTTCTTGTGAAAGTTTCTGCTAATTTAAACAGAACGATTCATATAAAGGTATTCAGCGGGCCATAGTTTATGCCGCCCTTTACTTCTTCTAAACTTTGGAAGGCATCCAAAAATCTATTGGAATGTACTGATCTCAACAATTTCAGATATTTTTCATTTATTCTATGGCCGTTCTCCAAGGCGTGTTGATCAAAACTAGATCTTTCTAGTCTTGGCAATCGGATATATGCCTATGTTATCAGGGATATAGCTGAAAACAACGGGTTTCCTTTAAATATAGTAGATAAGTTAATTAGTACATTCTAGATTGTTTGAATATCTTTAAAACACAAAATTATTATATTATGGGCATCATATTATATGATGGGCAATACGGATTTTGAAAAAATTGTGACACAGAGTCGGCAGTATTAGATGCCATAACCCAATTACAGCTAGATTAAATTGAAAGTTCACTGGCCTTCAATATGAACCAAGATAAACTAACGGATCAAATCGCACTTTTGAAAAGTTGAACGTGAAAGTAGCCTTCAAAACGTTTCGCTCATTTCAACAAATCTTGGGTAACCCTGAAGCAAGATGCTAGAGAATGAAAAGTCGGGGATATATAAAATAAGCTGTGAGAACTGTGACACAAAACATATGGATCAGACTAAGCCAGTCATTAAAACTCGTAAAATATATGAAAACTGTCCGAAATTGTTGAGACCGGGACATGACACTAGATTTTTGGATGCTTTGGAAAGTCTGGAAATATCAAAGTGTGGCTTGAAAACCACGAACAGTGACAAAGGTCCCATATCAAATAACCTGTTGTTTACCTTTATATGAATTGCTCTGTTGAAATTAGTGAGAACTTTAAAAAAAAAATTCTATCCAAAATAAGTGAAAGTTTACCTTGTGAGATATAAATAGATACCAGTATTAGAGTTAGAATAGGTCCACTTCATCTCCTAAAGACGCCAACTTGGTTGCTGAAACAGGCGTCAAGAAGAGTGTTACAGTTCTGGCGTTTGGGGGAAGTGCTTGTTTTAGATTTATTCAGCGCAGAATTCTATCATGCATATAAAAAATTGGATGCATCATTTAACGTCATTGCTTATCTATATAGGGTGTCTCAAATTCGATCCTCACCATTGGGATCTCAAAAAATATGCGAGACACGATGATGGCGCTTCATTCCGGAGATATCCGGAAAAAACAGAAATTTCGGAAAATGGTTTTTATTTTTTTCTGGCTTCATTTTTCCCCACTCTTTCCCATATTTTTTCATTGGCTTTTCAAATGAACCAAACTCGGTGAGATTTTGATCCAATAACTTGAACATAGTTCGATGTATTTGTCGTCGAGATACAAGTTTAAATACATTTCCGATGTCCTAACACTATTTCTATCGTATTTGTAATAAATTTGTATATTTCTTTTTTCTTCATTTGTGAAAGTCATTTTTCGCTAAAAATTCAATGACTTGTACGATAATATATCATTGAGTGTAACAAATTGAAAGTCAAATTTAGAAACATCAAAGTCAAAGCCTATTATGATAAGAATTATTTTTTTTCAATATCTCCAATTTTTCGAAAAAGAATGATAACTTGTGATACATCATTGAAAAGGTAAAATCTGGTCCTATTGAAAACAGAAAGAATCCAATATAGCGCCCATAAGAAAAAAAAAAAAGTTGGTGATGGTGGCCGGAAGACGAAACGTCGGATAGCAAATCTGAAAACACCATTATGTAGCAGGGAAAAAGTGGCAATGTGGAAGTGCAATTTATTTTCGAATCCTTTTGAAAAATAAATCCAGAAAAAAATAAAAACCATTTTCCGAAATTTCTGTTTTTTTCCGGATATCTCCGGATATACTCGGAATTTCAGAACTTTCTCAACGGCATATTGTTAGTCAGGTAAATGCGCAACTTTGCCCCAATTTAACCATCTTCGTATCTCTCATAGTTTCCGAGATCCCAATGGTGAGGATCGAATTTGAAACACCCTGTATAGCTCATATGGTTATGGAAAACTATTGATATCATGAAATATTCCAAATTTTTACAAATAATATCAATTGTAATTTCTCATTTATATTGTATATTTAGGCAAAAATCTCTCCCAAGTGCCAGTTCAGATTTAAGTCTACCTGAAACTCAACTTGGGGACTGGGTGGATCAAATGGATATCGATGGTGAAAAGGTTATTTTGAGGAAGAAATTACCTGCTTCTTATGAGTCAGTTGAAGGGTGAGCATAGTGAAATTCCATAAAACAAATAGTCTAGTTAGTATTTTCAGATCAATTTTGATGGATTCATTTTCGATGGATCAGCCAATTGGCTCTAGCTCCTTCCAAGGAACAAACTCCAATACATCCCAATCAACAATAACACAAAAATCACAGGAGCCGAACATTGATCTTGAACTTGATGTTAAAGTATTCATTAACAGCGGAAAGTGTGTGTTGCATACTAAAGATTCTGTTCGGGAGGAAGAAGTTAAAATGTAAAGTAATGAATATTAAAAGGCAAAGCTCTATACACACTCTGTTTCAGGTCCCGAATGCGAAAAGATCGTAGTTGTTCGGCTGGGCTACTGGAATTTCCTTCTTCATCCTCCAGTCCGGATGCCGTTCGTAAAAATAAAGACAAGTTTATGAACCAAAGCACCGCTTCTAAACTCAGGGGAACTCAACATGGGTCCATTTCAGATTTAACCATATTCCATATACCAGGCATGGATGTCAAACTGCAATACCAGTCAAAGGTTTGTATTTGAGAATATAGGTAGATTATTACACGAATAAAGACATTTTTGAACAATATTCTTTTTTTTTTAGGTTATTTTAGAAGACTCTGTCACCACTTTAGAGAATGCTGAAACTTTGGCAGATTTTGAACAGGCATTTCAGACTCGATCTGATTCTATTCGTAAGTCACCGCTGAATGATTCGGAAGAAAAAAGAATTGACAGGGCATTCAAAAGACAAGAGACACACCCCATTGATGTTCGATCAAAATATCAAACAGAATTCGAACTCAGAAATTCTAACTCTATGCAAGGAATTAGCAATCCTAATTATGGACAGAGTCCTACGTCGAGTAAGACAAGCTTGGATAACCTTCAGTTTGACACCTTCATCCCTATCAGTGAATACCAAAAAGTACCTACAGGTAGATATTATTGTTACATAACCTCAATCTGATCAACAACTATGGTGTAGTGATACTAAAATCTTCAGTTATTATTTTTTATATTTTCTACAGCTGCTGTTCTTATCGAACGGGAGGTGGTGGAAGATTGTGGTAAATTTCTTACAGTATGATGCTTTCAGGGGGTTCACATACATAATAAGTGAAAGGAAAATTATGTTCTTACAGGTGGTGTGCGGGACACAATTGTGGAATAATTAATTGTGAAATTGTTCGATAATCCGAAGGTGTCAAATAATTTCTTCCACAGGCAGATTTTTTTAACAATTGTTTTTTATTAATCTTGAACGAAAATAAACACGCCATACCATTCAGACGGTACCCCCATACCTCCCTCAAACATCCCTCCCTTTCAGTAAAATGAGTGTTTTTTTAATGGCACAGGAGAGTGTTAATTTTTAGCTGAGACCGCAGGTCGAGACCAAAAATTCTCTCAAAATTGCCATGAAAACAAAAATGTTATACATGAAATACAAACAACATTTTTTGTACAACTGTGAATGTGAATTTACATCATCTGAAATATATTAAAAATGAATATTTTCAATACATCTTGACGTAGTTTTTTTGTCCCGATAAGTTATCGCTTTTAAACGACTATTATCTTGAAAATATCATTAAATGTTTTCAGTAAAATCGTAACAGAAGCATATATAGAAGACCAGTTGTTGACCGCGGCTTCGCCCGCTTAGAATTTGGTTTGTTACATTAAGTTTCGAGACAGACCATTTTCAACAGTTACACAATTTTTTTATCAACCCAAAACTTCAGGTTTTCAACTTCAAAACTGACGAAATTCCCTTTTTTGGTGCTTATTTGTGCTATATAAAGACCCTACCTGCGTATTTCAAGATTCTAGGTTCAGTAGCTTTACGTCTGCCCTCAGGCCTCTGCCCGCGTTCGAGTCGCGTCCTCGGCGATTGCGCTTCATTGCTTAGACCACCCCTCTACCTCCGCGCACCGTCCCCCGTCGTCTCACAGTAGACGCGACGCGTAATGGCTCATTTCACGGTAAAAACATTCTTTTTTTTTACAGCGAAAAAATACTTTTTTAGTAATTAGCCCACACTGTGACATCTTGAATCGAATTGTTAAAAAAACATTTTATTATCGTTAAGGGGAACGCCACCGGGACGAGTCATATTACACAATTTATATAATATGAAAGCTTGTTGCGAGATTTACCTGTGCAGGTAAATAAGAATACAATGTGTAACTTAATCTTGATATGTGTAATTCTAAGAACATTAGAAATAAATATGTTTTTTTATAAATTGCGTAAACGTCACAACAAGCTTTTGAATTGGTTTATTTTTAATTTTTTTTTTAATTTCAGAACATCTTGATGAAAGCTTGTTTTCGAAAAGGTTTCTTGCTCTTAATTATTTCACTTTTGCTTGAATGTAATTGGCAATGTTCCTTCTTGAATGGTATAGAGAGTAGAACTTTAATTGTTTAATGAGTTTGATGATAGTAATAAAATAGATATGATAAAGATGTCGTGAATGATGTTGAAAAACGAAAAAAAAAACATATCTAAAAAAGTATTCTAGCAGATGTGAAAATGAGAAAATATATAGAGTGGAAAAAACTTAAAAATAGAGAAGTGGAAATTTAATTAAAATTTGAGATAAATATTGTTAACAAAAAGCTATAAACCTTCATATATTGTTTATGTCATATAATTTCATTCAAATATTCAATTCCTTTAATTTTTAAAGTTCATTGCTCTACTCTTCTGTAAAAATTTTAATCAATGAAAATCGAAAAATAGTAAAAGCAGTCAAATAGATCAAATAATAATAGTATCATTTAAATACTCGTCAGTTGCATAGTATGCTTTTTCAAGTAAAAATGCTTTTAATTCTATTTTTAATGTTGTTTTATTGAATTCCCTCACTGTAAGAGGGAGTTGTAAATTGTTATTAGAGTATGCGGTACGTTTTTTTGAATAAATGAGAAGTTTGGAGTATTACACGTCAAGTCTGACTTATTTCTTGTAGAGTATATGTGTGTCTTTTTAGAGTTCTCAAAAAGTTTTGTGTTTTCCTTAACAAATAGTATAGTATCAAGAATATGTCAATGTGTGAAGATTGGTTCAAAACAAACTGATCTCAGAAGTGATATAAATAGTTGTTGCTAACAACTCCAAGATTCAAGTGACAGCAATGGGTACAAATAAACTATAAAATAAATTTGAATGGGTCAACAGAAAATATTCTGATGAATGATAGTTTTTTTGTTGCTAACCTCTCGTCTAGGTTACTCTATGTCTAGTGGAAAATGAATATAATGAAAATTTTTAATTAACGGAATGATATTATAGCTGTTATGCTCTTAATTGTTGCTAAATTAATTTGGTTTAATTATGTCATACTTTTTAACATCTGATGGCTGCCAAGCCAATTTTAAAGATTCATAGATTGGAAATGGTTAGGGCTACTCCCATGTGCTCAAACAAATGTCGTGAGGACCAACTATGCAACAATTATGAATTGTGTACGGTAGGAGCCACGAGCTTGCGACGCCGCATAACTGTCCGAGAGTATTTTTATTGACTTGTGTATATGAGGTTGGATTCTTCCAATCTCTCNTGTTTGTCATATAATTTCATTCAAATATTCAATTCCTTTAATTTTTAAAGTTCATTGCTCTACTCTTCTGTAAAAATTTTAATCAATGAAAATCGAAAACTATTTTTTCGCATTATAAATTTCAAATCAATTCTGTTATTCATTTGAATTTGTGTAATTTTTTAAACTATTGAGTGCAAGAATAAATTATATTCCAAATCAATTTGTATTCAAGGTGCTAATACTTCCTTCAGTAAGAAGCCTGGTGTAAAAAAGGCTTCTTTGTTTGCCTGGATGACTCTTCAGAGTGTTCCAGAAGAAACGATAATTAGTCCACATATTCTTGATTTCTTGGAACAAACTTTGGATCCTATTCCAATAAAAGCTTTTAGTGAAACAGGTAATTCTTCTCAGTAACAACAAATTGAATATTACTTATTTGTTTTATTCGCTTTCAGATAGTTCTTTGTGGTCGACAGATCAGGACCTCACTAACTATGGAAATTATGTCTATGCTAGTTTCCCTGTGGATGTTATAGTTTATTTTCATATGCAGCCAAGTACTTTCCGTTTCAGCTGTTTACCAGTGTCTAGAGTTGAATGTTTACTTCAACTTCCATCTTTAGATATTGTTTTCAGTTCGAAAAGAGCTGAAGATGAATTACTGTATAGGTAGGTACAGAGTTGTATCTGGTAACATATTCCATATAAATTTGTTTTTCTCGATATTGTGCACCTGTTACAGAAAATATTCCAATTATAGTATAGTTTTATAAATAACGTTCACACAAAAATTGTTCTATAAAATCCCATATCAGTGACTTGTTAGAGTTATCCATGAACTTTTTGAATAACTTTCAATTAAAAATTGTAATTATTTTGTTGATTTTTGTAAAGTGAGGAATGTAAGACAGTTTTTGCTATCACAAGAATTAAAAAAATAGTAAATCAAAGTGCGACACTTGCAACATATCATTCTCTTTTTCATTCAGTCCTAGGTATGGTATAATCAATTGGAATAATGCATCAAAGGTACATCTTCATAGAATATTTGTCATTCAAAAATCTGCAGTAAGAAGCATAATCTCTGCCAATTATGATGAAAAGTGTCGACCAATATTTGTAAAACTTAAAATAATGACCCTATATTCAGTTATTGTCTATGAAAATCTGCTTCTTGTTCAACAAAACTTGATGAATAAAGTTGCTCATAAGGATATACACCAACATGATACAAGAAATAAATCAAACCTTGTTCCTAGAGCTAATAGGTTGAAAAGAACAGATAATATAAGAATTAAGCTATAAAATGCCTTATCTGCCGAATTTCGTAACTTGCCATTCAGAAGATTCAAAGACTTATTGAAGAAAATATTAACCAAACATCCTTTATATGAAATTGATCAATTTTTCAAAGTTATCCAAGAGGAAAGAGACACTTTTGTGGTAACCAACCGAATTTTTACTCAACTTTGAATATAATATGTTAGCTATGTGATTTATGATTTATAAAAGCTCATGGGTTTACAGTTTAGTCAATTCTTATAAGATTGGAATTTTATCCTGTTAACTTGTATTTTTTGTAAATCTAATTTATCTACAAGCATTTTTTTAGATGTGTTACATTTAGAAGGGAAGAGGGAAGAATGTTTAGAAATCAATAGATTCAGGAATTCGGATAATTTACTGAATGATCAATTAGCATTGAATAACTCCCTATTACTGAATATTTTTTCGAATGTGGAAACTGGGACATAAGCTCAGGTAATTTCATTCATTATGGATTTTCATCAAGTATCGGCCAATTCCATCGTATATCTTTTATCACTGATAATGAACTTCTTAATATCCCTCAACATTTAGAGTTATGTTTACTAACAGCTGTATTAATTTGAATTTTCCATGGATATTGGTAATGGATATTTAATTTTTATAGTGAATTTGGCGATGGAACACCTAATACAGCAGCTACTGCTGTGGGAGGATTGAGTGTAACAAGTTGTCTCTCTGATTTTTCTGTCTATGTGTTTCATCCATATGGAGGCAAAAAATCAGCATTGAAAGAAGCACAATGGTCTCCATTATCTGATAGCGAACGGAAAGACTCCCTTTCTATAAACGTAGAGTTTGTCAAGTTTCATTTATCACGATCAAGAATGCTGAACTTCAAACAAGAATCTGCAAAGGGCAAAGGAGGAGATCAGAGTAGAGCAGTCATTAGGTTTTCTAGTAAGACCTATTTGTCAGTGTGTTTTGAACAATTATTAAAATGATAACGTTATATTTCAGCTATTATTGATATAGGATCAGCCTCTTTTAAGTATGACATGAGGAGACTAACGGAAATACTAGCTTTTCCGAAAGCTTGGTACAGACGTTCCATTGTAAGGAGAATGTTTCTTGGTGACTTGAGTATGTCCACACCGTTTAATGATGAAGGAGATGTACCATCTTCACATTCGACTTCACCTGGAATGTCAAGAAGTCACGAAAGGTAATTTATAGAAGGTTTAGAAAAAAAATATTCAATCCAGAACAGTTTTAAAACTAAACGGTGTAATGTTAACTTTTGGTGTGAAATTAATCTAACAAAAATACTTCTATACAATAGAATTGCAACAGTCTGCAACAAGGGTGTTGTAGTTGCAGAAATAATAATGAGTAATGAATAGATTTTATTGAATACGAAAAATGTACCTAAATGTAACAAATTAATGAAAATATTTATGTAGTAGTAGTATTGGTGAATTCGAAAAAATTTAAATGTATGTAATTTAATTTCTAGATCAAATAGGCCAGACAAGTCCCCTCTCTTGAACAACAAAGATCGCCTTAAACTGAATTTAGACTCTGAACAATTGAGTCACGGAAAACTGAAAGATCTTGGCAAAGTTCCAAGTTCAGATTCCACCCAAGAGACTCCAAGTCCATCAGAACATAAAAATATGAGTGCATGGGAGACATTGGTATTATTTGCTGTCAACTTTAAGAAGTTGAATGTTCACATGAATATGGGTAACGTCATGGGAAACGTTTCGTAAGTTTGATGAATGTCATAAGTTGAGATTGTTGTTCAGTATTTTTTTTATAGGTGGATGACTAAAGATTTTCGCAGCGATGGTAGACTTAGTATCGGTTCGACAGGACATAAAAATCTATACATAGGTTTAGGATTGGGAGGCTCTAGCTTAGATGCAAAAGGAGGCATAGTAGGCGGAAATATTGAAATAGCCCATATTAATACATACAGTGAGAAATATATACAATGAAATATTACAAATCATATTTATGCTCATTGTGTTCAGGCTCAATAAGAATTGTAAAATGTTGTATTTCAAAAAGTGCTTCTTTTCTGAAGATACAAACAACTATATAAATCATTTCTATAACTGATACAGACTTTATATCTATTTTTTGATGAAGAAATTTGTCTCTTCTGTTGACATATGATATATTGTAGGATCATGACCACCAATTGACGGATCTAAGCAGCCGGTTGGCGTCAAAATTCATATTCAAAATTCAAATTGTCTTATGTGAAAAATTGTAAACAAGACATTTTGCAGACCCAGATTTGACATGTTTCATTTTTCAAATGTAGTAAACATATCAATAACAAAACTGTTACCAATAACCCAGCTAACCAGATGACGTCAAATATATGTCAGATAACTAGGCTGACGTCACCAAATGACGTATTTATGACCTCTCAATCACGTGAAAAAGTCACAGGCCTTTGACGGCAATAGCTGACGTTTATTATCTGACATCCGCTGACATCTTGGTAACGTCATACTGACTTATATGACGTCTTAGCAACGTCGCACTTACGAATATGACGTCTTGGAAACGTCACTCTGACGCATAGTTTTTGTCATGTTTTTGTTATTTACACTGCACTATTTGGAACCTTTTGTGTAGTAATGAATACACTGGAGTTTTATCCCAACATCAAACCGCTATTTTTAAAACGTGTCAAGGTGTTAAAAATTGTGTTTGTGTAACTCCAGTGTATTCATATTTATGATGATTTCAGAACTCCTGTACTTTTGGAACTTCAAATTTTTAATAATTCTCATGTGTACAATGAATGATTGTTCAGCTAAAGATAAGTGAAAATGGGAAAACAAAAAGTATAGACTTGACTACATTGTGAAACATGCTGAATGACATGTCATATACTGAAATCAATATAAAATTTCATTGTCTGTTCAAGCTTTTGATGGAATAGAAATCATACTAATGACATGAATTTTTAGAATGCCAATAATATCACACAATCAAAATATTCAATAAGTAACACAAATATACATTTATTCATTAAAAAAAAAACATTTTTCAATGATGTCCAATTATTTTGTTTTTCATATAGCATTACTAAACCTAGAAGTACAAAAACACTTTTTTTTTAAGTGAAGGAGTTTCGTGACACAATTAATAGCGATTCTTACCGGTTTCTCAAAAAACTTTTTGGATGCAATACAATTTCCATGTGCTTACATCCACAGCTTTCTGTCGTTTAACGATTTTTTAAAATAAATTGCTGTCTGTAACAGGTGGCCAATAAACTTCTTTCTCCTAGGGGTCAGCCAAGATGAAGGAACAACAACCAGACCACCTTCTTCAAATTCAATCACATAAAATGGCATCTTGATTTCTAGATCTCGATTACAATCTTGAGTTCTAATATCGGCTGTTGCCCATTCACCTGATTTTATGCCGGTAACGTGAATTCGAACAACACTGCTAGTCTCTCTTGTTCGTGCACTTTTGATAACACCAATGCAATGATAATATTGATAATAATGGACAGTCACCTGATCAGGACCAGTATAATAGAACTCTTGTCTATGCAATGCACCTGATAATTAAACAAAACAACGTCATTTTGAGAGCTGGGAGCGTGGAATTTCTGCACATGCGCCAATTTAAAAGCAGTTGACTCTCAAGAACAACTCTCTTAGTGTTGTTTCTCTCTTACCTCCTTCATTACTATCCAAATTGGAAATGATAGTATGTCGTTGTCGGATATAACTCTCCATTGGCCAAAGGTAATACCGGTTAATTTAAATGTGCCGGTAAACCAAGAAAATACAGAAAAATAAAACAGAATATACAAAGAATCTTATTCGGTGATATATAGAGTATATAATTTTTGTGATGGTTGTCACATAGTGCTCTTGTAATATTTGATCCAGCACAAATAAGACCTCTCTTATATATTCATTATCTCTTCATATATAAAAAAAAATCCCGAAATAATATGTTTTTCGACACAGAAACATTGGTCGTGAAATGACTGAGTAAAGAAGTTGAACCAACGTCAAAATATGACGTCGGAGGAAGATCACAGAAATGACGGCTTTTTGACGTCATATTTTGACGAATAATGACCTGAAAATGACGCATTTCTAACGTCATCATTCGTTATCTGGTTAGCTGGAAATTAAAAAAAAATCATTCGATAAATTTGTTTTAGAGAAACAAATGACTTTTAGGACATCTATTATTGCACATTTCGTGACGCATTTCTAACGTCATCATTCGTTATCTGGTTAGCTGGAAATTAAAAAAAAATCATTCGATAAATTGTTTTTAGAGAAACAAATGACTTTTAGGACATCTATTATTGCACATTTCGTGAGGCTGTTAAATATCACTCTGATACATTTACATATGGTTTTTGTCATATGCGCAATAAATAAAATACCAGTTTTTGAATGACGAAAAAATATTGAGATTTGAATTTTCAGACCAGCAAATATTTTTATGCATGGAGTTCTGGGTTGGGATCAACTCCAAATGATGATATCTAAATCAACTACAGCAGATCTGTTGAAAATGTTCAACAAATTGGAAGAATTTTTCTCTCAGCAATTCAACAGTAGCAAAAGGGCTTTCAGTAGCTTTGCAGGAAGTGGCAGAGCTGCGAGGATTGCTCCGCAGAAAGGTAGGTTGAAGAAATGTATGAAGTGAAAGTGACTGAAACATTTCAAGTGATAATGGGTATATAAGACTGTCATATATAAGATTTTTTTAATAAATTTTGTAGAAATACTTGAAAGTTTTCATCAACATTTATTGCAGTTCGAGAAACTCCAGCAAATGTCCAAGCACAACCAACTAATACATCAGATGCTAGACACCATAGGCACTGGCAAAAAGTACTTTTGCAAGTTGCAAGGTTGCAACTTAAGACTATGCACATGCCTCTACCATCCTTTGGTACAGTGCTAGGTGGTACAATGGAATTGCAAGGAAATAATATATCTTTAGCATGCTTTCATGGTATTAATTTTAAAAGCAAATCCTGGGCGCTATTCAGTTTGAAAGAGCCATGTATTAATTTCAACACAGAAAGCCAGGAAATACCTTCATCCACATCAGGTATGTGATCATGTTGTTCATTCATTTCTTGATTATCAGTTTGTGAGTCATATTCCTGAATTTTAAAGATTTAGAAACAACATAGCCAAATAGTAAGCTATAATGGAATATTAGCAAGTATCAAAGATGTAATTCAAGGAGTGTCCTAGGGTTCTGTTCTAGTGCCCAGTGTTATTTCTTAACTGGATAAATGACTTGTCTGTGTCATTTTCTGAATGTCAAATAATCATATTTGTTCATGTGTCAAAAACAATAACAATTGTTATTGCCTCTGCTTAAGCAGAGATATCAATAAAAATAAATACAGCAATAGATTAATACAACAATACAACTTACTTAAAGGGTTCTGTTCTAGTGTCCAGTGTTATTTCTTAACTTGATAAATGACTTGTCTGTGTCATTTTCTGAATGTCAAATAATCATATTCGTTCATGTGTCAACAAAATAATCAGAGATATCAATAAAAATAAATACAGCAGTTAAATACAGCAGTAGATAAATATAACAATACAACTTACTTACTCTGAATGTATCGAAATCATTTATTAAGAGAGATTTCAGCAGTGATTGATTACCAAATGGTATTCAATCAGCTAGTGCAGTTATGTTTGTAGGGATATCTTCATATAGTCTACAACATACTCAACTCTGCATATTATTCAATAAAAGATTGAAAACTACTCTAGATAAATTTGGATTGTTGAAGGTCTGATTTTCTTCGGCTTATTCTCACATCAGCTTTAATATCATATCTTGGATATGTGCCAGTTGAGTAGAGTTTTTGTTGCACAGAAAAGAGTTAGTAAGATTGCTATTCAATATGGGATTTCAAGGTAGTTGCAGACAAATTTTCCTAAGAAAGGGTCTCTTCACTGTACCTTCTTTATTTATGTTGAAATGTGTCACTTTTGCACAAAGGAATATTAATATATTTTCCATAAATCTCGTATACATGGTAGAGACTTTGACATTGAGAATGTCTCCACCCAAAAGGCTCACTTTAGATGCTCCCCATTATTATGTGCAATAAACTGTTACATTTATTAACATTTCATTCGATGGAGTTCAATTACCAAAAAGCGATGTCACGAAAAATTCAGACCTTCATCTCGACAAATCTCTGCGATTCGGTACACATGTTTCTCAGATTCTTAAGAAGGGTTATAATAACTTAAAACTAGTAGGTTCAAGTAAAAATCTTTTGAACAAAAAATAAATAGAATTTTACTCTGCGACGCACTGATACTATCTCATGCCAATTATGCAGATACTGTTTATGGTCCAGTACTCTCGAAATCTGATAGGCAGAGACTTTAAAAACTGCAAAATTCGTGCATAAGACTCGTCCTTTTGCGCAAGGAACATGTGTCTCAATACTTGGGACAACTTAGGTGGTTGAACATGGGTGCTAGACGAATACTGCATTCTGCTGTTGTATTCCATAAAGTCATCTACNTTTGATAATATAGGTAGGTAATATGAAAACTGATTTTGACAAATAAAGCAATTAGTTACTTAGGTTAGAATCTAGGACAAACAAAGGAACAGGATTCTTGATTGAAAAATTATGGGTTTCTATTGGTTGATAATCTGTATCGTTATGAAAAATCTGTATCATAATGGATATCATTATGAAACGGATTATGGTCATATAAGTGTATTGTTAGAGTACGGGTGTAGAAAAAAAATAATATACTTATTGCGTTTTTTTTTTATTTAACATGTATGTTAAAAAAATCAGTTTTTCGTTAACCAGCTGTCGCCCCTACGAACGACAACCTCAAAAGTCGAAACATGTGCGAGCTAAGGACTAACGAGGTCTTACCTTTTAACATGTGATTCTTAACACCTTTTAACGTGTTGATGTGATTATTGAATTTCAAATTATTATCAATGTTGAAATGGAAGGTAAAACTAAAACCCCTGGCGTAGAATGAACCCAAAACAAGCACTTTTTCCAATTATTCAATACGTAATACTCTTTTCGACGCGAGTTTCACCAATCAAGTTGGCGTCTTCAGGGGGTGTAGACAGCGGAAAGCGACTCTGTTTTATACTATGTAGTGGTGTCATGAGGAAACCAAATTATTCTCCAATAAAAATATTGATTGACAAGTGAATAAATCTTTCAATTATTAACAATACTTAAGAAATAGGTCTAAAATTGGATGGATCATCAAATCATCACCTTTATGTGGAGAAATGACTACTATCGTTTGTAAAAATGGTGGATATTTACATCATTTTATTATTTGTTTCTTATCAATATTTTTCAATATAAACCTCGGAATTTTGAGATTAAAGTATAAATTTCTAGTTTAAAGTCATAATTTCGAAATAAAGTCGAAATTTCGAGTTTTGAAGTCGTAATATCTAAGAAACAAATCACCCTTCTGAGTTTCCTTATAAAGCATAGTCAGGTAAACTTTCCTATATTCCTTCTTTATTTATGTTGAAATGTTCACATTTGCACCAAGGAATATTAATATATTTTCCATAAATCTCGTATACATGGTAGAGACTTTGACAGTGAGAATGTCTCCACCCAAAAGGCTCACTTTAGATGCTCCCCATTATTATGTGCAATAAACTGTTACATTTATTAACATTTCATTCGATGGAGTTCAATTACCAAAAAGCGATGTCACGAAAAATTCAGACCTTCATCTCGACAAATCTCTGCGATTCGCTACACATGTTTCTCAGATTCTTAAGAAGGGTTATAATAACTTAAAACTAGTAGGTTCAAGTAAAAATCTTTTGAACAAAAAATAAATAGAATTTTACTCTGCGACGCACTGATACTATCTCATGCCAATTATGCAGATACTGTTTATGGTCCAGTACTCTCGAAATCTGATAGGCAGAGACTTTAAAAACTGCAAAATTCGTGCATAAGACTCGTCTTTTTGCGCAAGGAACATGTGTCTCAATACTTGGGACAACTTAGGTGGTTGAACATGGGTGCTAGACGAATACTGCATTCTGCTGTTGTATTCCATAAAGTCATCTACTGGAAAACCTGCCTACCTATTTACTAAATTGTCCTTCAGAACCGATATACATAATCTAAATTTGAGATTTAAACATCTTTTGACCAAATCAAACATAAAATGTCAGTTTTTTGAGAGTTTTTTTCTTATAACATTGTATGCTTATATAATCAGCTTCTCATCGAATAATTAAACAAAACAACGTCATTTTNTTGACAAGTGAATAAATCTTTCAATTATTAACAATACTTAAGAAATAGGTCTAAAATTGGATGGATCATCAAATCATCACCTTTATGTGGAGAAATGACTACTGTCGTTTGTAAAAATGGTGGATATTTACATCATTTTATTATTTGTTTCTTATCAATATTTTTCAATATAAACCTCGGAATTTTGAGATTAAAGTATAAATTTCTAGTTTAAAGTCATAATTTCGAAATAAAGTCGAAATTTCGAGTTTTGAAGTCGTAATATCTAAGAAACAAATCACCCTTCTGAGTTTCCTTATAAAGCATAGTCAGGTAAACTTTCCTATATTCTCAGTGAAATAAAATCCACTGCAGAATTTTTGTTGATACTCACATCGTTCATAACTTTTTTCGGTTCTTTGATATTCATCTATTTCAAAGTAAAAGTGTTTGTAATGTAAATACTTTTCAGTTATTTAAGGGTTCTTGTGAGGGGGCAGTGTTTAGCGTCATTCTCTCAACACCTGAACAGAATAAATTATTGATCAGACTCCATAGAAGTTTTTCATTTTTAGTACCATTTCCGCAAAATTCAATGATAATTTGACAAGTTTCTTCCCATTACCAGCTTTAATAATTCGATTATGGTATATAGGTAAGTAATAAACTAAATCGCGAGTACGAACAACTTTTCAACTCGTGTTGAAATCGATCAATTGATCAGAAACTGAATTGGAGAAAGGTTGGAAACGAATTTGAGGTAAATTTAGAAATGGAAATTGATCTTATGATACAAAGCAATGTTGGTGATTACTTGATATGGTTACAATTTCACTCTTGTGCATTTTTTATGAAACCACATGTCAGTTACATATTGTTATGGTTTTCAGAGGGATCCCAAAAACAAGACGTTCATGTTGTTCAAACTTTGACGTGCAGCTTAGGACTAAGCACACACAAAACCCATTTATCAATGGCAACTGTTTGCAAGGTATCTAGAACTGTCATTTTTCCGCCACAGTTCAAATCTCTCCAAGAATGGTTCAACTATGCATTTGCTAACAGTCAAATTGATGGTAAGAAGAAAATTTTCTATCCCGAGGTTGATAAAAAAAATGTTTTTTGAAACTTGTTTTCAAGAAATAATAAAATACATCAACCACTTATCGTCAATGCTATCACTTACAAGGCTTCTTGAAAATTACGTAATTTAAGAGAGGTGATGTGACACCTAGTTCCGAATATGTTTCAACTCTTCAAAAATTCTGTGAATATTGATTGAATAGACAATTGAAATATCTTCTAATTGAATCCAAAACACATCTGATGATTCATATGAGTTTGAAAGTCTTGTGCCTCAATTTGTTTTAAAAGAGTTGTTGCATTGATTTATCACTTCCTAAATTTTTTCACAGTGTATTACCTTTCTAATAAATTCACTTCATTCGCAGAAGTAGATAAGTTTCCATCACTTGAAAGAGAAAAACCTGATGGGGGCTCAATGGAACGCTCCAGGGGTACGTCAGCTTCTCCAAAACTGGTTGATCCTAATCATAATCGAGAAGTCATTTTTGCCCTTCCAAGCTTGCAAATACATTTGAAAACTGAACATTTACAAACTGCGGATGTGCCAGATTTGTCAGGTGAGTTGAAGATTCTGAATAATGAATAACTTAAAACTCTTTCGTTTTCGAGGATGAAAGGTAACCAAGTTAAGTAGGTAAGGTCATGTTGAACTTACTAATAAAAAAAATATATTGATGTTAGGAGCCCTATAAAGAGGTTCATGATATTCAAGTTTAAATATAGATACTTATTTTACAAGTCGTATAATTTGTCTAATTCTTCTAAATCTTTTAAGAATAAGGGGATTACTTTCAAATCCATTCAAGAACTGCAAAATAAATCAATAAAAGTAATATTTTCACACAACAGATCTCACAAAATGAACAATACTCAATTATACCTACTCTTAAAGCATTGTGATACATATAAAATAAAGAATAACTTTCTTAAAAGTAAGGATAAACTTGTATTCAACAATGAATTGTAAGATCATAAATAATTTCCACTTAATGACAGCTCATACAATTAAGGGGCTGTATGGATCCCCTACTCAGGCTATAAAAGTTCTTAATAAACTGACACTGAGGATGCATTATTATTATTTGAGGAGATTGAAAATACATTTCATAAATGAAACTTGTACTACGGTGAATTTTTGTGTTGAACATAAATATAATTTTAATTTTTGCTTTCTTCATGGATTTTTTATTCTTATGGAGTCCCTGGACCAGAAATTATGCTGACATTATTGTCATATTGTACTTTATATGTAAATTCATCTATAATTTGATGTTCGGACTGTTAGTATATATGTTATGTTAGTATGTAGTATATATGTTATTTTTTAATAAGAAAACTCAACTGCCAACTTCAAAATAACAAAGATGATTATCACAACATTGAAAATTCATTACATTGAGTGTGTCTATTGATGTATCATTTATGTAGTTAGCATGTTCATTGTGAAGGTGATGTTAATCTTATATTTGTAAGTTCTGTTACTATTCAGAAAACAATGTGTTTCCGATAAAAAAAAACAGGCAATATACTTAGATGTAAATCGTTGTATATTGCTGATTATATTCTTCTGCTAATGCATCAAAGATTATCTCAATTTTTCTAATGTATTAATAGTTATCTTGCTATTCTGAAAATCATGAAAACTGGTCCAGTCGTTTTTGAGTTATGAGTGGTGTAAATAACACGATACTGCAACCTTTATATGTATTAGATTTATTCACCATTGACGATATATACCATAGTGAGTCACACACGATTAGATGAGTAGTATAAATTTACAGAATGTTTATGTTCATATATTATGTCAGTAAACAAAAAAGGTAAAATTAAAAATTAACATTTGCATATATACAAATATATAATACACAACATTATATATAAGCATGTAAAAATCTTTATAAAAACATGTTTTTGAATATTGTAAGATTGAATACTGTTAGATTTTCACTGGACAGATCTATTGACAATACTTTTACCTAACCAGAACAAAAATTGTGTGTCTTGACGCGTGTTTCGCTAACCAAATTGGCATCGTCAGGAAACAACTAGTGATGGAAAAGTGTTTTCAATAGATTAATTTTACGCCAGAGGTTATAAATTCTACTTGTCATATATACTTTAATGTCTAATTTCAATGATTATCGATAAAACATTCTCGGAAACCATAATTTCTCTAATAAAAAGTCTTTCACTTCATTTTGAAATATGCTATTCCTGTAGTTTGTTATACAGGGCTATTCAAATTCGTTTCTGTACATGGGGATCTCGCAAAACGATAAGAGATAGAGTGTCGGTTAAATTATGGCAAAGTTGCGTATTTCAGAGACCTATTCAATGATGTAAAGAAATCGAATATAGCTCTTTTGGTATTGGAAATATACAGGAAAAACCAAAAAATCCCCTATAGCTTCTTTATTCGCAGACATATTGAAAATCTGTCCACATTTTGCTATTGGCACTTGATGTGGGCTCTCAGAATATATCCATGAATCTTTTATACAGTGTGTCATCTGACTTGGGCCACCCCCATCTTTGAATTTTTAAATACGGACCTGTATTTTTGTTGTAGTTTTTGGATCGTAGACGTTCACTTCATACTGAGAAATTAAATTAAATTTTATATTTCGGGATGTTTCGGCAATATTCGATTATAATTGTGTGAATTATTCCCTTTTAAATTACGGCCCTGGAAATTGGTTGACTGAGTGGAATAAAAACATAATAGCAACTTTCACGTCTCCCTATATATCGTAGAGTTTTTTGAGATTTTTTTTTTTCATTTTTAGGTACCTATTCATATTTTTTTCATTGCTCTGAACGTTTTCTACGATGAACTTCGAATAAGAAAACCTTTTATGATTATTTGAAACATATCTACATAAAAAATATATTATATGTGTTTTAATGAACAGAAAAAGAAATGATAGCAATAATAATCCGAAACGAACACTATAATTGTAATGAAAATTGAAATGAAGTCATTTATATAGGTACCCAAAAAAATTATTGGCACAATAAATATTCGAATTGGAGTCTTTCCATTTAGAGACATTTTTAAACTTGGTTTTTCATATTATTTATTGCCCTTAATACACTTATTTGCTGCAGTGTTGCGAAATCATTCAAAATCCTCAATATTGAGTCTTCCACATTTTCTGTCTCTCTGCCAGCGTAAATCCTATTTTTTAATGTCCCCCATAAAAAATAGTCCAAAATAGTAAGATCTGGTGATCTTGCAGACCATCTTATTGTCCCATTATTTGCCTTGAAATGGAAGGACTCCAATTTGAACATTTATTGTGCCAATAATTTTTTTGGGTACCTATATAAATTACTTCATTTCAATTTTCATTACAATTATAGTGTTCGTTTCGGATGTTATTATTGCTATCATTTCTTTTTCTGCTTATTAAAACACATAAAATATATGTTTGATGTAGATATGTTCAAATAGGTAATCATAAAAGGTTTTCTTATTCGAAGTTGATTATAGAAAACGCTCAGAGCAATGGAAAAAATATGAATAGGTACCCAAAAATGAAAAAAAACTCTCGAAAAACTCTACGATACAAAGGGAGACGTGAAAGTTGCTTTTATGTTTTTATTCATCTCAATCAACCAATTTCCAGGGCAGTAATTTAAAAGGGAATAATTCACACAAATATAATCGAACATTACAGAAACATCTAGAAATATAAAATTGAATTTAATTTCTCAGTATGAAGTGAACGTCTACGATCCAAAAACTACAACAAAAAATACAGGTCCGTATGGGGGTGGCCCCCAGGGTGGGTACACCCTGTATAAAAGATTCATGGATATATTCTGAGAGCCCACATCAAGTTCCAATAGCAAAATGTGGACAGATTTTCAATATGTCTGCGAATAAAAAAGATATAGGCAAAAAAATAATTTGGGATATTTTGGTTTTTCCTGTATATCTCCAGAACCAAAAAAACTATATTCGATTTCTTTACATCATTGAATAGGTCTCTAAAATACGCAACTTTGCCATAATTTAACCGACACTCTATCTCTTATCGTTTACGAGATCCCCATGTACAGAAACGAATTTGAATAGCCCTGTATAATGCAACACGCATTGGAATTTGTACTTTTTTCAAACCTCATCTTTCTATGTTTAGGTATTCACAATTAGTTCCAATGTCTGATATTGTGTTGATGTTTTACAGCGTTACACTGATAAATCAGTTATATTCTGTCTAGCAAATATTGAAGAAAGAAAGCACCCTAAGAATTTTATTTCCTCTGAAAATCAGCATTAGTAAAAGCCTTTGGGAATCAAAAACTTTCAGAATTCTCTCACTCGACCCCTCTCCATATTGATATGAGAGTATTCCAAAGCATAATAAATGATCATCAAGAATGACTTCATTTGTTTGATAGCGAAATAGGCTTTATTTAGATTTTAACTTTCGATATGTGTGAATATTACTGGAGTTTTATCTCAACACAAAACTGTCATTTTAACACCTTGACACATGTTTCCATCACCAAGTGATCATCTTCAAGAGGAAGATTAAACTAATATATGTGTTCCAATTTAGACCCTCATTTAATGAGTCCCTAAGAATTTTATATCTGAATTTTGTATCAAAAAGGATATTCGCCATTCAAGTTTCCAAACCAAAGAGGCAGCATTCCACTCTTCAGGCTGGTGAAGTGCTTGTTGTATACGGCGGTGTTAACTTGCCAGACATCAGAATTCTTCACCCGCCCGAGCCAATTGTGGCTTTAGGAATCTATTCTTGTGGAACGCTCTGCGTGCTCCGATTGGCTTCATTGGTGGCATGATTCCACGCTTCTCTTAAGTAAGTCAACGAGAGGTAGAATTGCCACTTCCACCACTCAGCAGACTGAGGAGTACCTAGATAATTTTTCCGATGAAGATAGGCTACACAATCCCTGTGTAGACAAGTCAGCGGATTGGGTCTTCGAACCGGTCAGTTGTGGGGACTCTACCTCGTGTTCTATGAACCATATGTTGAGTCTAGGTTGTGGTTAGTCCTATAGACCCACAATTTAGAGTTCTAGTTTTCTGGTGCGCCTGTGCTGCCAGTTCAGTTTTTTTCAGTGTCTCGGATGAGTGGTGACACAACTCACAAAAGGCCACAGATGAAATATGGTCATTTCTATTTTATAATTATTATACTTATTAGTATTATAACTATTGAAAAATAATATTTGTTTTATAAATATTTCGAACATTCTGGCAATTTAAAATTAATATTTCACATCTTTTTATATATTTTTTGCAGATGAAAAACCCATGGTTGAGTGTAGTTTCATAACAGAATTTGAGGATCATATTTTCGTGACAGTAGATGCAGAGGCGTTCTTCTTTTTACATGATTTAATCACGTCTTATCTTAAGGAGAAGGAACGAGTGGTGAGATGAATATGTATTTTATTTATTGTGATTTTGGACTTTTCTTATTGATAATTTTCTTTCTCCCTAACTGATTTCTATCAATCTTTCCTCTACAATTTGACACTAAATTTTTAAAATTCAAGCTATGTTCAACTAAATAAGTTGTGGTCGAACAGGAAAACTATTTTCTCTTTTTTAAAAATGAAGAACATTTTGAACACTTAAAATTAGAGTTTTATGGAATCAGTCCCTTAGAATTTCTATTCGTAATATATCAATTTTATTCTAAAGATCAAAACCTAAATTAATTTTTTCGTATATTGGGTTTTTCTCAAAATTAATTTTATTTTCATATCACAGATTGCTTTATTTTCAGCTTGGTGGTATTGAGAAACGTGCGAATTTGGAGCAAGATAAATTGAAACAAATGAGTGATACTCCAAAGAAAGGAACCATCGATGTAGATATATTCGCCAAAGATTGGCGTAACTTTGAGTGTAAGACTTGGCATCTAGAACCGACAGTACGTTTGCTAAGCGTTGCAGGAAAATATATTGAACCTTATGGTATCGACTACATTTTGCAAAAGCTTGGATTTTCCCATGCGAGAACGACTATTCCAAAATGGATGCAGCGTGGTTTCATGGATCCTTTGGATGCTATTTTGGCGGTGCTGACTTTGAAAATGGTACAGGTTGTGAAGGGTGATGGAAATAAAGAAAAAGAGAAAGCAATCGAGTTGAAAAAATAATTGTTGTACGACTGTCAATAATAAAGCATTATTTAGGTCTATCTTAGCACTAGAGTTAACAAATTTAGACAAAAAAATATGTGTCTAAGATTTCAATGGATATTATTTGTTTGAATTGTGATAATAGACTGTGACTAGAAATTTTGTGATAACATGTCAATGTTAGAAAATACATGGTATCGTTGATTATTGTAGGTGCTTATGACAATGTTTTTTGCTTTCAGTTTACTTTATATGTTGGTTTGTATTTATTTTTCTCAAGATTTTTCCTGAAGGTTATGTTTTAAAGTTGGTTATATTTTCTATTTTACGACTGATTTTTAAATGATATTATGAATGATTAAAGGTCATCTAAAACAAGTGTATCATTTATCATTGTGGTTTGTCATAATCAAAAGTCGAAACTTGTGGAAATTAGGAATTAATGTACTTCGTAACGTAAGCAAGCCTCATTTTGATGTTGAATACCTCAGTACAATGCAAGGTCATTTATTGAAATGGGTTTGGTTAATGCATTGAATTTACTAACACGTTTAATACATTCCTTAACTAAATTTAAGTAATAATTATACTTTGAAATATACGTTAGACTATGCTTCTATGGTATTTTGATGATTTGTATTGCAGTTTTTCCATAATGAAGTTGATTCAATGATTCAATATCCCCTGGAGCATATAGCAATATCCTTTTTTGTAAGTAAGTAAGTAAGTAGTCTTTATTGAATAGGAATAATCCTAATATTCACAAAACAAAGTTATAATTCTACAATAAATGATTATTAAGTAAATACTATGTCAACACATAGTACAATAAATGAATCCATATTTAAATTCAGAATAAAATACATTATTAACAATAAACAAAGTAAGATTGAGATAATACAAATATCAAAACTATACAATAACTGACTCAATTCAGCTGAAAATCTATAATACAATATATCTACATTTATAACAATCACAAATATTTTGAGTTTTTTCTTAAACGATACAAGTGTATCACATTTTTTAATTTCATTTGGAAGGGAATTATATTCAACTAAATCTCGTATGAATAGTGAGTATAATGGTATTAGCTCTATCCACATGCAAGTTGTTCGCACTTCTAGTACAGTATTCGTGGACCTCATTAAATCAATGTTCAGTCCATGAATTTCCTAGGACTACAGATTATAATATCATCACTGTTACAATCAAATCCTGTCAGCTGCAGAAATCTAGCACTTTGAAATTATATAGGGATTTTAGTGAAACAACACTTCTTTTAAATGAAGTGTTGTTTCACCCACAAGAAGTTATCACCAACGGAATTCTCTTTCTTCTCTCTATGTACGGAGCTTCTGAAAAACTACTTGCTTAGATAAGTTTCCATTTTTTTATGCAAAACACAAGCACTACATAAAAATCCTTAAGTTTATTCCATATAAACGCCGTTCTCCAAATGAAAGAGTTCTTAAACAGTAAAGTTTGAGGTGTACTGAGTTGAACCTCGAAACGATGAGCAGCCAGAGTCCCTCACGTATTTCTGATATGTATTGCTCTTGGTGGAATCAAATGTGCCAGGTCACTTGAAGACTCTCCGTGAATCTATAGAAGAGAGACAAATCTCCAACCTCTCTTCGATGTTCCAGACTATCAAGGTTGCACATGATGTTTGCGTCTCCAATCAGACGGATAGCTCTTTCTTGGATGGAATCCAGCAGCTTCAGGGTATGTTTGGGGGCGGAGCTCCATACATATGCGTGTTTCGTTAAAAATAATCAAAATATAAAACAAGTGCAACTAGCTTGTCTTCTTCCAATCTCAGCGGCTGCTCATCAATATCTTCTACGGGTATATTAACAAGTTCAAGTGTGGCTTGGTAATCAGCTGGACACAAAAGACTCTAGTTGCAAGTTGGTCGACAATACAGTAGCATTGGAATTAGTTCAGACTTTAGGTACTCCCACTTGCGCCGGAAAAACTACCAAACACAATTTTTTGCAACTGTAAAAAAGGATGTAGTGCTAAATGTGGTTGCAAAAAAGTTGGACTACCTATTATGACGATTACAACTCTTCCAACTTTTTGAATCGTTATATCTCGAAACGGTGGCTCTTAGGAAAAAACTATTTAGACATTTTTTATAGGTAATCTAATCTACATTTGTTGTCTGAACTAATGTTATGATAAAACTAATCGTTTTGCCGAAAATCGTAAAAACCCGTTTTTGTGACCTTTGACCCCGAGTACAATATTTTACAGGTATCGGATCGATGAGGATTTTTTAGATTTCATTTATGATAATGTTTTGAACAATCCTATGAATTTTTTAATTTACCTGGATAACAATGCTTTCAGTATGTTAGGAGGAAGTGTAATGCAAAAAGTCGTCAAGATTGTAGTAACACTTCTGTAAGAGTAGTTTCTTCACTTCACTTCGGACTCGAATTTCCTGATGAATGGCGACAAGTTATTTTTACAGTTTATTGCAATATATCGTGGGGAACATCTTATGTGGAAAATTCCCATGGCGGGTATCCAGCATGAATTTCCAAATTTGTGACAAATATATTGATAGGTATATTGATTTTTTTTTGGGAAAAAGTGACACATTTCAAGATAAACATAGAAGAGGTGCAGTCAAGAGGCCTTTCTTAGAAAAATTGATGTACAACTATCTTGAGAACCAATATTGAATATTAATTCTCATTAACAACAAAAACTTGAGGGTCTTCCATATATGATATCACTATTCAGTACTAGTAATTTTTATTTTCGTATCTTTCTTTCAGTTGAATAGTTTTCTAATGAGACTCCCAAATCACGAATCAACTTTGAAGCGTCATGCCTAAAACTAGATTTCAAATAATGAAATTTCTGTATATATAAATATATATATACAGTGTGTCAATTTGAAAACTTCCCACCCTCAATATCTCCCTTCCAGTACATAATATGAAAAAATGGTCAGACAGGTCAACTTTATTTGCAAGGGGGACACTCTGAATGAATATTTTCAACCCTCGGGGTTCAACCCCCTAGGAGGGGTGGATGTTACCCTCAGAATTTCAAATGGAAAGGGGGGTCAAGTGGCACATCATTTTGAAGGGCATTCAATTC